GTCCGTCGTCTAAGGTCAGCGGCACTGCTGAAGACCCGGCTAGCGGTCGCACCAGGAATAAGCTTCCCGTTCCTTCTTCTTCGGCCCTACGGCCCTCCCGGCGCGCAGCGCCGCACCCCGCGTTGGTCTCAGTCCGGTCGGTACTCGCGAGGCCCGATGGATGTTTGAACAGCAGCCAATGCTTTTGCCAAATGTCACACATAACTATAATGAATACCCCTCATCCCTCCCACTGGCTTCCATTCTTCGGTCCATCCTTCTCTACGAGCTGTGACACTTCTGTGCGACTGTGCTGACCATCTGCCCCGTACCAACACATCACAGGATTCCAAGCTCCACAACAACTACTCAACCATGCAATGTCCACTCAGGCGATGTTCCTCGCACCTCACACGCTACTGGTGTGGTGTGCTTCCCGTTCCTGTCTTTCACTCTCTTCTTCTGCGCTCTATGCACAGACTTCTTCTACGCGCTATACGCAGTCCAGAGGACTGCGCGCAGGCTACGCCCACAGAGCAGGGTATCTGTACACATCCAGAAATGTCCCGAAAGCCTTGCGAAGGACACACTGTGCCTTTCCCCGTCGCCGTCTTCTTCTTCTTCTCCCCACACACGTGTATTCCCCAGCTTTGTCTTGTAATGACTTGGCTCCCACTGCATCTTGAAGAAAAATTGTTCTCTGGCAGAGGAAGGTTCGCGAATGAAGCCTTTTCCCTTTATAACCTCAAACCGCACCCTCGACCCCAGCAACCAAGTTCTGACCCCAGCATCATTCGCCCTTGCCTCTCATTGCCGTCCCAAATATACTAAGGAGCTTCACCGCAATGGATTATTTGTGCACATGATCCTAAACTTCCCTATGCATCGCGGCTTTGCCAAATTGCTCGTGCGCACTTCGCCGTGCATTGCGCCATCTTTGGCTCCTTATTTCCCGCTGCCTTTGCCAAGTCAACCCCACCATAACAACGCATTGCACCTAGCTCACACCCGCACTGGCTCAGGGCTCAGCGAATTGCATTGTTCGGTATGTTTTTGTTTCCAGGGCAGGCTTTGCTGCAGGCTTTTCGGTGCACATGCTGAATTCCTTTTTCATAATTCTTTTCAATTCTGTCATCACTGCACCAGCTCTGTAACGGGCTATCTCGAGACTGTTCTGTTCACTGCTCTGCCTTTCCTCACAGCAACTCACATGTTGCACTTATGTTTCATGATATAGCCAGATAGGCCTCCATGCTGTTGGCTGCCACGTCGATTCCAAGCTTGCTGTCGGCCGCCTCCAAGAATTCTGCTATGTCAACCTCGTGTGGATGGGTCGGCCTGTATCTTCTTTCCCTCGTTTCCTCAGTATCTACACGACCCATCTTTGCAGCTGATGTACCGTGTGTTTTCTACTGGGCTAGCGGGCTCAGCCGGCTTTGTGTTCGCATGCCACGGCCAATCCTCTTTCTTTCCTTGATGTCCTGTTTCTCCTTTTGCGTCGCGATCCAGTCTTGCAACCCATCCGAGTCAATTTCTCCAGCTCCGGAGGTTCCGGCAGCACGATCTCCTCAGCTGTTCCGTCTTGCGATCCTTCCATGTCTTCTGTCGGCGTGTGGCAAAGCATGTTCGGCTCTGGCTCGCCCTGCCTCCTCCCTATTTCTTTGTCTAATCAGCAGCTCATCCACTCCGTTGGATTCATCGACCCTCGCTGATTCCGGTGGGCATTTAACTTTTCTTCCTAGATTTTTCTCTCACCCTGTAGTGGCTGTCTGATCTTCCCTTTGTGCCGCGGTCGTCTGTTTCCCCGTCTCCACTTGCTGCGGCGGCGGCTCCTGTCAGTAGTGAGGCGCTTTGTTTCCCATTCCCTGTAGGTTGGGTACTCCCTTCGGTCGAACTTTCTTTCCCTTTTTCTGCAATTTTTCTTCGACAATATCCAGACTGTCCGCATCCTCCTTCTCTTCCTCCCTTTGTCGCGCTTCCTTTGTCTCGTTATTTCTTTCCTTCTTGTCCGCAGCGGGGACTCTATGTCACTGCACTTTACTGCGCGCCCACTCAAACTCTCGCTCGCAGTCTTCTTCTTCTTCTATAGGCTACGCAGCATCAGAGGTGCTGCGGGGGCGAACCCCCAGCGCGCGAGGTTCAGTCAGGCGTCGCAAGGAGGCTCTCGTGTTCACCGGATTGTTACATAAGAGAACCAATGTTCTTCTACCCGTCCCCCCCTCCCTATCCGGTGCACTTCTCCTATTTTGCCGGAAAATGGTCGGGTTTCCTACCTCCGAAAGAAATGGAGCCGAGGAAGGTTAAGGAGTGATTTTCCCTTACTGCCGATCAAACCCATACAGAATCCATCACTCCTTCCTGCGTCTCACTGCTCCTGGCGCCGGGTGTCCGCTTTTTTTTACAAGGAGATCTACATGACATTGTCCCGCTTACTCCGCTTCACAGGTATCTCGAATCTCCTCCACCTTGCTTGCCTCGAATTTTCCTCTACCACACTGCACTTCCAATTACCTGCTTCCCTCGTCCTAAGGTTAATTTCCATCGGAATACCCATCCCCACACTCCCCGCTTCCCTTGGACTTGGGCTGCGAAAACTACACGCTGGATCGTTAGGGTCTCAGTAAGCCAGGTTTCCTCATCTTGTGCGGAGAATTCCCGGCAGCATGCCGAATTCACTTCCCTCCCCTTTCTCAAAACTTAAAATTCTCAATGTCTCAGTATTGCCGGTTGTCCCTCTCCAGTAATTTCATAAGGTGCGTCACGTACGATGCTGTCACGGTAACCTCTTGCAGAAATCTCTTTCCTGAATTGCCTCAGCTATGGTGTCCCCATCTCGCATTGTCTTCTTTGTACTTCCCACCTGTATATTGTTTGTCGCCATGTTCCCTCTGCCAGTGCTCGTCCTCATCTTCTCGCAGTGTTGCTTGCTTTGCCTGGACCTTGTTGTGTGTGATCCCTTCTCCAAATACGTTGTCCAGACTTTGTAGCCTCTTTGCCAGTTCTTCTTCATCTTTGTCCTTTTGGTCTTCGCTCCAGTGTGCTTCCCATCGCTTACGGTGCGTATCTTCCTTCTGCCGCCAAAGCACCAGGTAGGTTACCTGTTCCAGTTCGACTTGGCTCGGCTTGTGTTCTGGCTCCGCTGGCTTCGTCGTTCGATTCCATGTCCAATCTGGCTCCGGATTTCTCTCCTTCTTGCTGTCTTTTTTCCTCGTCTGTACCTATTTCTTCTGCGCTGGCGCCGCCTTCAATGGGTGTCTCTTCTCCTGGCCTCATTGGCGATGCCGGTCTCTCCCTGTTGGGCTGGTTGTCCTTCCATTCCTTTTTCTGAACCTCTGTTGTTCCAAGCTCTGTCTGCACCGCAATCTCTTTGCGTGTCTGTGGCTGCAGGTTCCCGCTTCCAGTTGGCGTGTCGTCCTTCACCCTCTGTGGTGCTTTCCTGGCTTCCTCCAGCTTGGCCACTGCGTCGATTTTGCTTTCGTCCACTCTCGCGCTGGCGGGTGGCGGGACCATCTTTCTTCTTTCCTCCTGCTGGGTCTTCTCCTCCTTCTTTTTTTCCTTTGTGTTCCCGCTCAGGGTGGTCTTTTTGGTCTGGTTGTCCTCCTTGGTTTGCACTTTCGTATTCTCCATCTGCTGTCCTGTTTCCCCTTTGGGGGCTTTCCATCCCAGGATCTCTTCCACCATGTCCGGCGATTCCCTTCTTTGTTGGTTCACTGTCATTGCCTCAGGCTTCTTCCCTGTATCTCGGGGTCCTGGCTGCTTCTTCCTCGTCTTTGTGTCTTCTCCTTGGTGTTCTCGCGTGCGCTTTGTCGACGGTCTAGACTGTATGGCATTCGGCGTAGAGCTGGCTGAACTGCTTGAGCTGCTTGAAGACGGATTGTCTCCCTTTTCTTGGGGTCCTTCCTCTCGGGCCTGTTCCGCATCTTGTCTCTGCAGTGCCAATTCCAATAAGAGACGGTGCCGTCCCTTGATCCCTCCGCGTGCCGCTCTTTGCATTTGTGCTACCGTAGCTCCTGCCACATAGCGTGCACATTCCTTTTGGTACGTGTGGCTGCCCTTGGTTCCTAGTGCGCACACTACACAGACTCCCGCCTTGGTTCTCCTTGATCCCTTGCTGTCGAGCTGGAGGAATTCTCTGGATGGCTTCTCTCTGTTTTTGCGCCTCCACTTCCAGATGACCGCTCCCTTGTTTGCTCCGCTCCTTTTCCATTGGTGCCATCTCCTTTGTCCCTTGCTGTCGAGGTAGAGGAATTCTCTGGCTGACTTCTTTCTGTCTCTGCGCCTCCACTTCCAGATGACCGCTCTGTTGTTTGCTCCGCTCTTTTTCCCTGTCCAGTTCCCACTGAGAGTGGTGTGCCGCGAGTATGAGGCTCCATGGCAAGTGCGTTCAAACTTCCTTTATAACCTCTAAACCCCCCTCCCTCTAGCAGAAAAATGCAGCTCCCCAACACGCTTCTTCCTTAGGTCTCGGTTTCTCTCTTTCCTCCTGTGCACTGAGGGGGCTCGAGATACTCCCGTTTGTCTGAAAAAGGGGCTGCGGCGTATGGCCTCAAGCCACCCCCAGCCAGGGCGCGTCCACCCCCCACAGAGGGGGGCCGGCCTTGACTGCACCCCACAAGGGAGGTGCGGCGGATGACTTGAGCCAAAATGGCTACGGTCTCTCTCTCTCACTCTTCTTCTTCTATAAGCTATGCAGCATCTGAAGATGCTGCGGCGGCGAACCCCCAGCCCGCACACGTCCGGCATCCTTCTTCTTCTTCGGGCAGCATCGTTCTCTCTCCCTCTCTCTCGCTGTCTCTCTTCTTCTTCTTCTGCCAGCGCTAGGGGAGGCTGCCCTCCCCCTCGCTGTCTCTTCTTCTTCTTCTTCTCACTGCTCTACCCCTCACTAGGTGAGGGGCCGGGGCAACGTCCCAAGCAGGATGACGATCACAGCGTCGCGACTGTCGCTCTCTCTCTCTCTCTCTCTCTCTGCCCTCGGGCTGATACTTGCAGGCATGCAAGCAAGATGATTGGCCAAAGCCTGCCTTGCTGCTGCGCAGCTTTTGCTGGTGAACTGCACCTGATTTAAGACGCACAGCCAGAAACGGCAGAAAGGGAACAGTGAGAGGCAGAGGCCGCATCTCTCCAAGGCCACGACTCAGGAGCTCAGATAGCATATCGGCTGCCACAGTTGCTGAAACCTAGCGGAAGAGCCACGGGCACTGACAAACGCTGAAGTGTGTCGCTAGTTCCACGCTTGCAGTGCTCTCTACAGCATGCACACCAACCCACACATGTCAGGTACAGGCCTCGCTGTGAGTGCAAGACAGAATCTGTGCCGCGCGTCCTGCGCAAGATGCAAAAGTCGAATCCGTCAAGTCTCCATGGCTTGAAGTGATGTAAGAGCAGCTCTTGTAGCCCATACTTATGTCCCGCACCAGCCATCTGAAAAAGCACCTTAGCTGCTGCACCGCCATGCTGGTTTCAGATTCTCAACCGCAACAAAAATGGGTCAGGCCTGCGGCGTCATGCTCATCACGGCTCCATTTCCAAACGAAGGAACACCACCAGGATAATCGCCCTTGCAGTGCTCCTGTGCAATACTTTTGAATCCATACGCCTTCAAGGTACGGAAACGGCGATAACATGGCAGACTTTTCCTAAAGTTCCTAGAGGAGCCAGCGCCTGGAACGTCTGCCACCTTTCAGATGCGAGATACTCGCGATACTAACCCCCCCTCCACTTAGTGTCCAAGCACTCTATGATCTATGAAGCTCCTGAGCGAATCTGAGGAAGTCGTCCTTCGGAGGGAGTCAAATGACTTTCTCATCAAAGCGGGATGGCAAATGGCAACACACCTACAGCATCAAACGTCAGCTGAGGTTCCGTGGGCCAGTAGTCGCTATCTGGCTGGTACAGTTCTATTTTCAGCTGACCTGCGGGCATCATGTAGACGTGGAGGCATGGACCAATCTCCGTGCATGCTCATTTGCTGTCAGCAAGTAGCCTAGTCGATTGCCACGCGTTGGCTTCAACAGGTCTTTCCTGCCGGACAGCCACTAGCAACTTGAGTTCTCTCGATAATCTGAAAACCTGAGGGTGCAACATCTCTTCAAGCATGGAAAACATGGCAAGCCCTTTGCATGGGGCTACAACCCACGCCCTGGAACCTGAGGTTAAAGCTAAAATTCCTCCGAGCTGCGTATGGCCACCGTAGCCTTGAAAGAGTTGGCCGCCGGCGCCATGGGCCCACGCCAAGTACTCCTGCATCAAAGCCTGGCACAATCGCGACGCATAAAATGTAATGTTGGGCTCGCTTTAATCTTAGGGCCCGCCCCCCTAACAATAGGGCCCCCAGAAAAATGGAAGTTAGACGTCCTGAATAAGGGTCCCACGGTACTGAGGGCCCCGCGAGGGCTTGGAGATTATTTTGAAAGGGATGGTCTGGATTCGGTCCCGTATTTTTAGGGCCCAGAAAAACAAAATAGATTAAACAGGACCTTCCCAACAATGGCCAGATCCTGAATAGGCGGCGGCGAAAACACATCAAAGAAGGTCTCTACGCTAAGTGAGTGCAACATTTCGCATGCTGAACCAGATTCTACATGTCAACGCTCCTCAAAAAGTCTGTTCTCCGGCACTTTCGCGATGCCACAGGTCCACACAACCTGCTCCAGCAAGCACAAAACTTGCAGCATACCGGGCCGTGTCATTTTAGGAGCAGATCAGTCCACGCCAAGGCCTTCGCAATAGCATGCATCTTCAGATCGGTGCACACTGTGTCATCCGAGAAGCTTCGATAGAAAGGTGTCCCTGTCAAGGCCGAGCATCAAAAACGCAACAAATCGTGCTGTGTAGCGTATAGTTGGCATGCGCTAGCTTTCGCGGGAAGGAAGAGAATCATGCTGCCAGCCTGATCACAGAAAACTGATCCTGAGAGCTCCGCCACCACCACCGCCACCGCCACCGCCACCGCCACCAGCGCCCAGAACCGCTCAGATAAGGTAACACACCTGTAGATAATCCACGGGACAGGCTTGAACAAGCCCTAACCCCACACTACGCGCCGGGACCCCCTAAACCCAGAACAACCCCCGTCCATAATTATGCGTGAAGAACACTAATTAAGCCCAAAACCCTGAACAACCCCACACCCCAAAGAACCCCAGACCCTCAGCCCTCAACCTCTAAGGCTTGAGAAACGAAAACAAATCGCAAAACCCTAAAGCTCAACCCGCGATCTGATGTGTGGCTAGGCATGATCTGATTGTTGCCGCCTACAGATCTGAGCCGCAGCTACGTCTGACCCGTAGGCACGTGCAATCTGATTCGGTAATCCAGTTTGCGGCGTTGATCCGTAACTATGCAGATCTGTTCGCATAAGGTTCTCCAGAGCCGAGACAATCACACCACCCGGGCGGATGGCGGTGGGATGGTGAGTGGAGCAGTCTAAAAACAGATGCTTCCAATAAGCCCACAGAGAAAGCATACGCCTGAATGAAGAACCAGTCTTTTTGGGCTGGGCTAATGTCCTGGAGTCCTAAAAGCTTCGAAATGATGAGACTGGCACAAGATCTAGTGTAGTGTGGACAGCAGTTGAGTAATGACACCGTCCTTCCCACATAGTTCTTAAGTTAAAGATGGCTACCCCGAACCCCGCTACCACCACAGCCACCGCCACCGCCACCAGCAGCACCAGCAGCAGCCCCAGACCCAGCCCCAGCCGCCCATTCATATTTGAATATACAGGGTATTTAGCAATAGAAAAATGAGGAGAACAGGAGCCAAAGATTTCAGGATCCCCCTTCATATCTGTAACACATGTAGCAAGCATTCGCAATGAATGTGCGCAGCCATGATAGCCCTGCTCCGTGCTATCCGTCGGGGAAAAGTATGGGCCCACAACAGCCCAATTTCTAGTAGTTACAATCAAAGGAATGATGGCAATTATAACCACAATCGTAACAGTGACGCTGATGATGGTGATAGTAGAATAATGGTAAGAGTAATAATGATACTATCAACGACAATAACTGTAGCAAAAACATGCAAAAACATGACTAACTGTAAAATCAGCGGTAGAAGTATAGTAACAGTAGCACTGCCAATAGTGAAGATAAAAATAGTGGCAGTAGTTGTGATAGTGGTGCTAGTAAAGATAGTACCAACAATAACAGTAATAGTAGTAGTCGCCATAGCAAAGTTGTATAAAAGAATTCAAAATGATAATTAGAATCATATTTGCCAAAAAAATAATGCAGGATGTATGCCAAATATTGCTGAGCAATCAGCTTGGGCTGAGTCCACGAGTACTGAAAATTTCCAGACATTAGTCTTGCATGTTCCTGACGGGGGCCTCAACAACAGTCCCCTCCCCAGAGAGTAATTGTATAGCTTTAGGAGTAGAACCGTTGCAGAGCTTGCTTGTTGAATAAAACAACAAGGACATGACATGCTCGGGTCGTCGCCTTATGGGAGCTTGAAGGGTAAGGCTTTTCCCTCACCATGACCACCAGCTGGCACACCGCGCATCATGGCAGGGAAAGCAGGTACGTTTTCCTTGCGGTGTGGGGGGCCCATGCCCCTCTGTCCCCCTGGAAAGAAAACACCTGGAATTGACAAACAAGGTGCACACACACACACACACACACAGACGGACAAAGGTTGTATTGGATGGCTTCCCATCTCGAAGATTGTACTGGGGGGGGGGTGAAGGGGGGGGGAGTGTGTCCACGATCAAAACAAGCAAAGAAGGGGATCAAAGAACAAAATCTGAGGATCAAAAAACAAAAAAGGATCAAAAACAAGATACTGCAGGTTATAATAAATTTGGTAGAATGGAGCCAAATCCGAGGATCAAAAAACACAAAAAGTGCTTCAAAACTCAGGAAAACCTCTTGGAATTTGGAGGATCATTAAAAAACAGTGATTAGAAAAACAAGTCTGAGGATCAAAAAACAAATAAGTATATACAAAAAGGTTGATGAAAACTCGTGAAAACCCGTGAAAATTATGGAAATCATGAGAAATACAAAAAATGATGAAAGAAAAAAATCATGAAAAATGATGAAATATGATGGAAAATCATGAAACATGATGAAAAATCATAACATATGATGGAGAATGATGAAAATTGAGGATCAAAAAAATGAGAAAAAGCAGAAGTTGCTGAAAACTCATGAAAAATTATGGAAAGCGACGAAAATGATGAACAAATGATGAAAATATGATTAAAATAATGAAAAACAATGAAAAATGATGACAGGTGACGAAAATGATGAAAAATTATGGAAAATGCCGGAAAACTGACAAATCATGGAAAATGACGGAAAATGCAAATTTATGGAGCATGACGGAAAACGATGGAAAAGAAAGAAAAACAAAGCATGATGAAAAATGATGAACAATAATGGAAACATAATGGACAAAACATGACAAATGATGAAAAATGATGAAGGTTAAAGAGACATCATGAAGAGTGATAAAAAAAGCATGAAACACTTGGAAATCATGAATATGATGAAAACTCGTCAAGTGACGAAAATAATGAAAGATCATGAAAACAATGAAAGCAATAAAAAAGAGGCACAGCCATGAAAAGTATTGAAACATTTGAGAAATGATGAAAAACATTGGAACAAGATTAAACGTATTCTTAAAAAAGCCTCAAGAATGTTGAAAAATGAAATGAAGGACCGGAGAACCTCACATGTGTAGTTTAACTTGAACCTAAGTGAAATGATATCAGGATGCAGTCGAACGCCTAACTAAAGAAGAACAAGAAACCGAGACGATAATTTGGGAGATGATTCTCTGAAAAGAATCTTAGGGGGGACACCCCTTGCCATTTGAGATTTGGGGGCTTGATACTCTGACAAATCTTAGGGGGACACC